ATCTATGTACAGTAATAAAAAAACTGTAGTCAGTGTATATATATTATAAATCAAATATATATATATGTATGTATGTATGTATGTATGTATAAATTTAAAGATATTTTAGAATGACTAACTTTTGAAATCCTTTCATGTAATTAACAAATTATATAACATCTGTGTACAGTAATAAAAAAATTGTATTCAGTATATATTATATGTCTTATAATTGAATCAAAAGAATAAAAAAAAAATAAAAAAAAATGATAATATATATATTTTTGCATGCATAAATTTAAACAATTAACTACCTTCATGTAATCAACAAATCACATAATGTCTACAGTTCACTTTTTCTATAATGAACTCCTCTTTTGTCTCTGATTCATTTTTTTGTAATTAACTTCTCTCTATAATGAAGCTTCCCTTTTCTTTTTTTATAATTAATTAATTTTTCTTTATAATGAACATCTTATAACACTCTCTATAACAAACAAAGGCATTAGAATCAATAATTAAAAATATTATATGTATATTTTTATATTTTTTCAAAATAAAAAAATAAAATTTTTGCGCACCTTGATAAATTTATATATAAAATTTGAAATCTTTGGTTCATAATGAGATCTTGCAGTTTGCGGGATTAACGGGATTATTTTTAACCAAAATAAAGTTTCCAACGAAAGGTATATTATTGCAAAATATTTTTTGGGTTTTACAACTATTTTTGATCATGTTATTTATGACATGTTTTTTCTATTTTAAATAATTGAATTCGAACGGTCACACAATATAAAAAAGATCGCTAATCGATTTTGTCACATGTGACAAATTCAAATGTCCGCTATGCTCCGAATGATTTAATTATGTCAGTCGGGGGTTTGTGTTACATACTGAATTTAACCAATCAACGTTAAATTTTCTACTAGAAGAACAAATTTGATTGGCTAAATTCAATATGTAACACAAATCCCGCACTCAATTTCCAACACTGATGGTATTATATTATAAATTAACTTTTACAACACAAAACAAACTTTATCAAAGCATCATCTAATTAAATAATTTTAATTTTTATTTCTTTATAATAATCAACTTGTAAGTATTATATTATTAACTTTTACAACACAAAGTAAACTTTATCAAAATATCATCTAATTAAATAATTTTATTTTTAGGAAGAACGAGAAGAAAATGTATAACCCAAAAATAAACCAGATAATACAAAAACTATTGCACCAACTATAAATACATTATTGCCCCAAATGCCCCCATCATAATCATTTTTTTTCTTTTTCTTTTTCTTTTTCTTATTATTACTATTCTTACTACTACTACTACTACTACTACTACTACTATTATTATATTTCTTATGAAAAGATTTAGATGAATTATTTTTTAACAAAATATCATATCCGAATACACTATTAATTGCATTCCAATAATAATTCTCCCAATTATGCTGTACTGTGTCTACTTCTTCAACTGGAATTCCTTCTTGTGTTAAATGGATTACTGTATGGTCATTTGATTGCTCAAATCTAAGTGTGACTGTAGAAAAATGATCTTTTTTATATAGAAATAATAAATAATATATATATTATTTATATTTATTTACTAAGCATAAATTATTATTACTATTATTATTTACCTTCAGTCCAAGATTTTAGACGCCATGTTTGAACTATTTTTTCATTTGGAATCTTTAATTAAAATATTTTAAAAATTAATATCAAATAACAAATTTAATCATATTTATTTCATTCCATCATTCCATACCAATTCTAGTATTGTGCCTGTAATATTTCCATCAAATAAATTAAACTTGCTTCCAACAAGTCTAAAAATATCTGGTCTTGATCTTGTCCAAACAGTGACACGACCTGGATCAAGCAAAGTTTCGTAGATTTGATCTGCTGAAGTTTGCATTTCAATCTTTTCATTTATTGTAGTAGTGTTAATTTTTGTTTTAGCTGATGATGATGAAGTTGATGATGATGACAATTTAGAAGTAGTAATTTTGGAAGAAGAAGTGGTGGTGATGACTTCAGAAATATTAGTAGTGGTGACAGGAGTTGATACTGCGATTGGTTCACTAGGTGTAAGTGGTTTTTGATTGAGAACTCCAAGTTGTGATGGTTCAATATAAACATCTTTACTATGAGCTAAAATTATAATATAATACATAATTATAATAATTGTAAATTGTATTGATAACAATATAATTAAAGATTATATATGAATAAAACAAACATACTTTCTACCATATCTTTTCCAATATTCTTGAATTTTTCTATAAGCAAAGGTGTCAAATGTTTACGAACTACTTGTTTAATAGAATCTTTCTCAGCATTATCATCATCATTTACAGTAATCTCAAACTAAATAATTAAATAATTAAATAAATTATTAACAAAAAATTTAATTTAATTAATTAAATTTTAATACCTCACAATCAGTTTCTGAGCCCTGTAAAAGTTCAGGAATTTTAATATTCCCTGTAACCTCAGTTCCATCAGCAGTGGTGCCTATAATATATTCATGTATTTATTAAATTAATTTGAATAAAATTTTTTTAAAGAAAAAATCATTTAATTATCATTATCAAAATTTATATCAACTAGCATACCAGACCATGTCAAATCTATTACCAAATCATAAATTGGAATCAGCTTTCCTTTCCTTTGATTCAATTCTGCATCACCATTACATTCTGTCACTTTTAAAGTTTTCACTGTTATACCTTCATGTTCTACCGAAATATTTATAAGATTTGTTTTTAGATAATCTTTAGCCCAACTTATACAATTTTTACTTGTCCTAATAATATTTTTTTATTATTATTTAAATAATAATTCCAAGTCCAAATATATATAATAAATTTACATACCAATGCCTTTAAAAATATTAAAAATATCAATTAATACATATTATAATCAATCTTTTAGAATAATAAAGGTTTTTTTAATTAAAAGAAAAATAATCAACCCCTACCAATTATTCACATTCTTCCAATTACTCATTTTGATGAATTAAAATTTTTTTATTTCGACTAAATTTTATATATATTTCTAGAACATTCTTTAAGATATAGATTTGTGTTACAGCTCGTATGAGCTTAAGTTGGTAAATTTCTTTCTGCTTCTACTATTAATGTTGTTTTGAAGTTGCAATTAATTAATATGATCAAATACATATAGAACAATTCCAAATATGACAGAGATATTCTATTTCGTTACATAGATTGATTGGGAACACAGCCCATATTAATAAATCACACTTAAAGAGTAGAGATAGAAGTTACACTAAATGTATGATTTCCTTATATTGATTAGATTTGATGTACCACTTTTTTTATACGTAGACCGATTATTTTTAATTTTTTAAAATTTTGTTAAAAATTTGTCAAAAAATTTTATCATCAAGATTTTTAATTACTCAAGTTCTAGAGTTGAAGAAAATTGTTAAAAAAGAGAATTGTAAATCTTCAGAGAAAACAAAAGTCCAATTTAATGAAAATACATGCTTATAGGTTTCAACTAAGGATGTTAGCCGAAATGGTTTTTGAAAAAATCAATTTCGGCAAGCAATTTTGGATTTACAATATTCTTAATATCAATAGGCATAAAAAAACTACTGAGAATTTTGGCTATTGAGTTAAAGTGTTCAAATAATTTCAGATATAATTTCAACAACTAATAAAGTTGATTTCGGTAACTATGAAAACTATCTCGGCATTTTGGATTCGGCAATGATCATTTATTTAGAGAGGCAATTTCGGCTAACATGCTTAGTTTCAACTAAAACCATAAGTACTTTACATGATCCTCGTATCTATCTAATAAAAAACAACTTTTGGTAAACCTTTGATTTTTTTTTTAAATTTCAAGAACTTTGATTACAATTGATAAAAATTATTTATATTTTTATTATGTGCAATTAATTGTTTTATGATGAGCAAAACTTTTGTCCAGGGAGTTATATAATAACCATAATAATAACATTCCATTAAACATAAATTTTAAATAAAAAAGTTTGCCAACATGATTCTTTTTTAAAATTATTTCATTATATATACAATATATGATTTTTTTAATCAATATAATCTTTATCCGTTATTATTATATCAACATCAAGGTAAAATTATTATAAAAGACATACTAATATATAAAATTTTTTAAAAACATCTGGTAAACCAAATATCGAGAGTTTTATATTTATTAATATTTTAATTTATTATTATATGAAAAATCCGTAGTACCACTTAGAAATATTGTCTCATTTTCTGAATATTGTCAAAGTGTGCTCATTTTTTTGAACTTATAAAATTTATAGAGTGCAATACAATTAATTACAAGGAAGAAAATGAAAATTACCTTAAAGTTCTTGTTAGTTTCTTGTAGATTTATTTTTAATAATCCAAATGCACATTATTACTATATTTTGGAATAATCACTAAATAAAAATTTAACATTCTCATATCATTGCCACTGCTGTTATACAATCTTTTATTTTCTTTTATGTCTATCTAAACAAATAGCGATATTCTTAAAAGATTTGATGATCTTGACCAGAGAAATAAAAATAAAGAAAGAGATGTCACTTAGATTGCATAAAAAATTATGATTCATTCTTAATTAAATTAAATAACAATCACAACATTTATGACGCTGATAAATTTGATTGACTTTATTCAAGCTTAAAAACACTTTTCTAGAAAATGAATGGATATTAATCATCATAGGTTCGATACTTGTTTTTGCAATTTCTTTGATAAACAAGAAATATACAAAACCCAAGGTAGTAATGGATACACAGGTAGAATCGCTAAATTAGTCATTGTCAAGGACCGATTTTATCAAGTTTGTGTAAAAAAAAAAGTTACCGCTGATCTTTTACGCGACCTAATACAGATCATTTACAAATTTGGTTAAATAATTCACACATTAATATGATAATCATTTATTTTTTCTACACGCGAAAATAATAATAATACTAACAATAATATTAATAAACAAATGACCAATACTGCTAATTATTACTGTTCTTCTTCTTTAGATTATCTATCACCGCCTGATAGTGAATCAACCTTTCAATTTCCTTTTAAACCATACGATATTCAAATTAGTTTTATGAAGAACTTGTATCAAGTTATAGAAGAAGAAAAATTGGGGATTTTCGAAAGTCCAACTGGAACTGTGAGTTACATTAAAAAAATTATAAAATGATGATTGATTATTTGGCTAGCTATTAATTCAATTTAATTAGGGAAAATCATTAAGTTTGATATGCGGGGCATTAAAATGGCTTAAAGATAATGAAAATAGATTTGATAAATTAACTGCTAGTGAAAATGTTTGTAATAATGAAAACAATGATTCTAAATGTAAGGATATTTTTAATTTTATTATTAAGGTTAATGGAATTGTTAATACTGATGATAATTTCGTTATAACTTTGTGTAAGTAGTACCACAATGGGTATTGGAACATCGTAAAAAACAAAACATCAAAGATGAGCTATCAAGAAAACAACGATTGAATGAACGACTGAAAAAGATCCGAGAAAAAGAAAAGCTTGAAAGAGAGAAAAGTCAATCACAAAGAAGCCGTCATGCTAGAAAACGATTGGTTGGTGTTATATATAATTTTAAGTTACATAATATGATCATTACTAATGAATGATTATGATAATAGAAACCAATTAAAGGATCAGAGGATAAAAATTATAAAAATTTGAATGTTAATAACACTAACAAAGATATTGGTGATGATGATCCCGGATTAAATGTATTTCTGGTTGAAGATTATGATAGTGATGAGGATACTGAAAATCATAGTAACGATATTAATGACATTAATGATGGCATTGTTACTGTCGTCGAAGATAATTTATCTGAGGATGTACGCGAACTTTTAAAAAGGTTGGATTTTTTAATTATTATTAAAACCTTTGTTTATTTTTCCAATAGCGATAATAAATAAATAAAATATCCATATATTGAATTAGGTTTCAAGAAGGCAAAGATGTTGAAAATTCTGAAAAGGACAATGAAATTGATGATGAAAATGTTCCTGATGAAACAAAAGTAATGGATTACTAAGAAATTTTAATATTATTAATCAATCATATATTTACTTCTTACATATCATGAAAATTATAGATTTATTATTGTTCAAGAACACATTCTCAATTATCTCAATTCATCAATGAACTTCGTAAAACCGATTATGTCTCTGAATACATTAAATCTGTCTCATTGGGTTCCCGAAATTCTTTGTGTATAAATGAAAATGTCAAGAGGTTTAATAGCATTACAAAAATTAATGATAAATGTATGGATTTGCAAAAATCTGATTTAAAAGCTGAGAAAAGATGCCCCCATCTTCCTTTTAAGGACAAATCAGGGTTTTTAGATTTCAGAGATCATGTTCTGGTTAGTAGTTTAGTTACATAATAATAAAACATGGTTATAATTTTTGATAATTATATTTTTTTCTTTTATTATTTTAATAAATAGGCAGAAGTGCGTGATATCGAAGATTTAGCTCATCTTGGCAAAAAATTGAATACTTGTCCTTACTATGGCACAAGGAAAAGTATTAGACAATGTCAGGTATGTGGATATATTATATATATTACATATTGGTTTTTTTTTAAGAAAAAAATTATTGTACTGATTAATATTTATTTCTCTCCCAAATTATAGATTGTTACACTTCCTTATAATCTTATATTACAAAAATCTTCAAGAGAATCAATGGGAATCTCACTTGAAAATAACATTGTGATTATCGATGAAGCTCATAATCTTATAGATACGATAACTTCTATTAACACTGTTCAAATTGATTTACCTCAAATTAGAAGAATGGGCTCACAATTATCGTCATATCTTGATCGGTATAAAAATCGTCTTTTAGGAAAAAATATCACATACATTCAGCAAATTTTATCGATGTTACAAGCTTTGGTAAAATGTTTAAAAGCTTGGCAGAAAAAATGTGAAAACTTTGAGGAAGATAGTTATGAAGGTCTAGAGGAGGTAAAAACAGTAAATGATTTTGTGCATTTATGGAATATTGGTCATTTAAATCTATTCAAAATCCAAAATTATTTAAAGAAAAGTCTGATTGCTCGTAAGGTAAATTAATTATATTATATATTTCTAAAAATAAATTAAATGCTAATTTTTTATTTTTTATTTTATTTTAATAAGTTGAATGGATTTATTGAAAAGGTTGAACAATTAAATAGCGATAATAATGATTCTTTTGTACAAGATCATGGTAATTATATACACATATATATTGTTGGTTGCGTTAATATTTCACAGCATTATATTATGCTAATTTACAATTGGTTCTTCGTCTTTAAAAATAAGAGCATTTATCTACCATTCCATCATTAAGCCAAGTTGAAGCATTTCTTATGTCATTAACTAATGGTAATCAAGATGGTCGTGTAATACTTGGTTTCTTGCCACAACAAACATCACAGGTTACATCTTCATCATCAAAATCAGAATTAACATTATGTAAAGATACATCACCAAAGACAAAAATAAAATATATTCCTTATATAAAATATTTGCTGTTAAATCCTTCAAATCAATTTAAGGAGATTGTTCAAGAAGCTAGAAGTGTAATTTTGGCAGGTGGTACCATGGAGCCTGTAGGTTATATCCCCTCCTAAAAATATTATAATTTTATTATACATGATTTACAAGACGGTTGTATCATGTAGTAATTTTTATATAATTAAATTTTAGGTAAATGAGTTAATCGAACAATTATTTCCATATTTACCTTCTGAAAAAATAGTTAAATTTTCATGTGGTCATATCATACCACATGAAAATTTATTAACATTAACAGTTTCTGAAGGTCCAATGGGCGGAATTTTTGAATTTACATATGAACATCGTCAAAATGTAAAAATGGTAAAAAAGCATTTCACAAAATCGAAAAGGTTGTTTTATTAAGTATAATCTTTACTAAACATGTTCCCTTCTCTTCTTTCTTCTTCACCCTTCTCTCTATTTTGATTTATAGATAGATGAATTGGGGCAAGTTATTGTAAATTATTGTAATATTATACCAGATGGTGTAATCTGTTTTTTTTCATCATATTCGTATTTAGAAAAAGTTTATAAGAGGTTCGAAACTAATGGTATATTAAAAAGAATTGAAAAACGTAAAAAGGTAAAATTTTTATTATCAATAAGAAATGATGATTGATAATTTTAATTAATTTGATTTGAATAATTTTTTTTTTAGGTTTTTCAAGAACCTCGTCAAGCTAATTTGGTTGAAAAAACTTTAAATGATTACAATCATCATATTCACACCAATTCTGAATCACATAGAGGAGCATTATTATTATGTGTTGTTAATGGAAAGATGAGTGAAGGAATAAATTTCTCTGATAAATTGGGAAGGTAAAAAAAATATATTAAGACTTTTAATAACAATAATAATTACGTGAGTAATTTTTTTAAATTTTGATTTGATGAATCTAGAGGTGTAATAATGGTTGGATTACCTTTTGCAAATCTTTCCTCTAATGATTTGAATGAAAAAATGAAATTTATAAGTCAATCAAAGGAAAATAATAATTCGAAACAACGTGGAATGGAATATTATTTGAATTTATGTATGAGATCAGTCAATCAATCAATTGGTAATTTATTTTTAAATGTACAATATAATATTATTATTATTTATAATTTCACTTATTTATAATTTTTTTTAATAGGTCGAGCTATTAGGCATCAAAATGACTATGCGACGATTATATTATTAGATCATCGATTCAACACAAATTTTAGGATAAGACAAAAATTACCAAGTTGGATTAATAAAAGTGTTGTTGAATGTAAAAAATTTGGATTGACTGTTGGTAAAATTTCGACTTTTTTTAAATCAAAAAATAATAAAAATTAATTAGAAAGGCTGTATACCGTACTAGTAAATATTATCATTGCGACAACAACCTCGAATTTAATGAGCAAGAAAAGCATTTGTTGAATTATAAATAGAAGGACTACATGATTTTAATTTTTTATATAACGTCATAATATTATTATAACGAGATGCTGTACAAGATCCATTACTAATAGGATTTATTACCATTTCCGTAATCTTTCATGTATAAATAGCTTCATCTTCGAATTTAAAACCATGAAAGAAGAATTTAAAAATTTAATACTTATAGATAGAGATTTCTCAATCCACTTGTATTTAATATCTGGAAATGCATTTCGAAATGCTCGGAAGTAGTGATGTTAGCCGTTTAAAAATCCTTAGCCGGCTAAGCCGTTTACTACCTAAATTGGTAATTCTATTTCTATAACCAGAATGTAATACGGAAATCTATTACCAAATTTAGAAATTATGTATGCAGATTATTAGCCGGCTAACATCACTACTCAAGAAGATAGGTGATAAACATTCAACAATAAAGGTACGTTCAGATATATCATGGTATAGGACTCTTGGCAGTCTGTACTTGAAGTTTGTGGTGAAATATAGGAGTGCGTACTGTGCAAAAAAGTTAAATCTTGCTTCTTCTGTCTGGTTATCACCCGTGATGATTGTCTTATTAAGGATTTTTGATTCGATTTCTGTGTAGTCTGTTTCAAATATCTCCTCCAGCTTCTTAACAAGAGTTTCCTGCAAAACCAATCGATCTTTTATTTGCAACAACTTTTTTATTTATATATAGGTTCTCTCTTCCACGGTCTCCTTAACATAATTTATTGTTGAATTGAATGTGCAAATAAGGTATGGGGAATATTTATCATACATCATTTTTGTTATGATTGGTTTGTTTGGTGTAAAAATCAAAGCTTCTTGAGTCGATCGAATAACTGGACATGGTGTATCTTCACATGAAGTAGTAATATTTTGTGAGGCATCTAATGATGTCAGGTATTGTTGGGATGTACTTTGAGTAATTTCACACAATATAGTATCTTCTGAGGTATTTGATGACATCATGGTTTGTTGAACCGGACTTTATGTGTTTTCATCCTCTAAAATTTCTAGATGGTATGACATGTCACCTTCATCCACACAATCATGGTTCGCTTTTCCACATAATCGTTTTGATTTTTAGATTTCAAAAATAGTATTAAAATCAGAATATTTATGATCATGCGAAACAGTAAAAAAAAATTTCAATTACTTTCCCACGTTTCTCCATGTAGTCTGAATCAGATGAATTGGTCTCTTCCACTGAACTTTCAGTATAACATACTGATTTTCTTTTTCTAAGGACTTTTTCGGATGAAAAAGGCAATTTTTCTTTCCTGCAAGAAAAATCATAAATCAGTTTTGGGCATTTTTAAAAATTTAACTAGAGTAACGACAAGTGGTGGGTGATAACCACCACCACCATCCTTATTCTTAAAACACTTACCCAGCAACATCAACAACGAATTGTTTACTTCTTTTTCTTCTATCCTGTTTGCTGTTCATATTTTAAAAAAAAATTTAAAAAAGAAGTTTGTTATTTGATCGACGTGTACAATTAATTATTTATCCTATTGGGCAGACGCGAATTGATTAAACAATTTATTTTTTGAGAGAGTCCAAGGTGACAAAACGTGGGTGTTGTTGTTTCGGTCGGTTTGGGTCTCCTAAAGAATACGTGTTAATAATTAACCAGAGGTACTTTTTTTTATTTGTATTGATATTTTAATTTTAGCTTATAAATATTTTAATTGGAATCAAAACACGGAGCAGATCTTGCTGGATAAATATTGATAATATTTTGCTTTGTGTAAACATTAATATTAAAATATTAATTATAATATTATAATTACATGAAGTCAAGGCAATACACCATTTAAAAAGAAACATTTCGAGTATGAAATGTTTGAACACTTTACAGCCATTCTCACATGTTCCTCATGTGCACAAGGCTAATCTGACTAGTGTGCCCCAATGATACAATGATGTTGTTAAATTTTCAGGGGGGACATGGCTCTGGAGTTTGCCAAGACTGCATCATCGTCAATGACACTTTCACTAATCTTCCCAGACCAGAGAAAGCTGCCATGTTAGACGAAAAGTCACCTGCAATGATCCTACCTCTAGGGTAAGGATGGCTCTGTGACCAAGTTGCAACTCTGTTGATACTCCCATTGTGATAGTCACCATGATCACTGGCATCAAGGAGAAAGCTGTAAAATAAAATGGTTCAGATTTTGGTATAAATTAATCATTCCCAAATTTCTGCTTCTCTTTAATTTTTGTTTGACCAACCGAACTTGTTATTTAAATGGGGGTATGGTTGTTGGTGAGTAGGTATGCCACTGACAAGACAGGAAACGCCTTTGGGATATACCAGCCAAACTCATATAAAGGGATCTTTTGTCCCAGATTTAGGGTCACATGGATGTTAAGCACAGAAAATGTACATTATCAATGTATATTTTTTTCAACAAAATAAACATTTAAATAATTAATTGTTAAATATTAATACTTTTCTTTTCATAAAAATTACAGCAACCCAGACTCAAAACTCTGAATCCAAAACAGCAACTCAGGTTGCAATCTCCCAAGTTGCAGAACTTTTGAACCAGTTGCAGGTGCCAACTTTTATGCTAGTGTGGCAATAACTCGCAGCAATCATCACACAAATGCCAGCTATCAATGATCAATGCCCATATGATAACAGCCAAGCCTGGTCTGAGGGGAAGATAGGGAAGTTTTGTCCAAAGCCTTCCAACATGTTCAATCGCCTTGCCTGTGGGAAAAAAAGTTCTATGGGGACAGGTTGTGCATTGCACCGCAATTGCATGTTTGTGATAGGAAATTTTAATTAAATCTGACACCTGTAATCAACATCAGATTTATTATTCATGAGCATCCACAATTGATAATCAGGAAGAATAATTTATTTTGTGAACCCCATAGATCTGGGTAGACATGCATTATTAAAGTTCATTCATGCATGGCCTTGGCATCATTATTACCTGAGTGATGCAATTGTTTGTTATGTCAATGATGATATCAAATGTATTGAATAATAATCGTGATCATCATGAATATTCGATGGATGGAGGCATTCACATGCAAGGAAATGAAGGAAATCATTAAATAGCTAAGTCATGTTTGTTTTATTAAAAACATTTGATTAATTATATTTAAAATATACAATAAAATAAAATTGCATTGAATCCAAAGACTACATCACTATGTCAATCAAGCTATCAAGCTGTTAATGTTTGTGCATGATTTAAAATCCTTTTGTGCTCCCATCTTTCTTTGCTTATATATAATCTATTGGTTCTCTCTACTGGTCAAATGATGCCAAATTGGGTAATGGGGTATCAGCAAATATCAGAATCTGATTATTCTTTAAAAAAATAATCAAGGTATTAGCATACTGATAAGTTAATAATATTTTTATCACATAGTCTAAAAGCCTATTAGTAAATATTGAAAATGCCAATATTTATCAGATATTCTTTTAAAATTAATCCTTTTAATAAACCAATAGCTCTTTATATTATAATTAAATTATTGGTTAAATATTTCTAAAGCTCTTACTAAAGTAATATCATATCTTGAGTAGCAGTTAGGGTTTTCTATTCAAATGTTTATTTGAATAAAACAAATAATTCGAGTAATAATAATTTGAAAAAACAAATAAAATGAATAAAATGAATAAAATGAATAAAACAAATAAAAGCAAATAAAAGCAAATAAACAAAATATAACAAATAAAACAAATAATAATTCAAATAAAAGCATAAAAAGCATATAAAGTGAAGCTTGTATTATGAATAGAAACTGTGCATTAATACTAGAATCAAAAAACAACAATAAATAAACAAACAAATAGCTTTTATTACAAAATAATTTAATTTTGTTCCTTTGGTGTTAATGATTGAATTGATCACACAAGCAGTAGTCAATTTAAACAGTGTTGTTAAAGAATTTATTCAAAATATTTATTTAAATGTATAAAGTTTAATAATTTTTAATGTTGCAAAAATTTTTTTGATACATCAATCTCAGTCCATATTTATATACTTTACATTTCTTTATTTCTTTTTTTGATAAATAATAAACTTATCCATTTGTTTATTTGTTTTAGTAGATTCAAATAGATTTTATTAGAACAAAAATGGTACACTACAGCAAATTTCAGAGTATCAATAATGCACACACAATAAGTATATATGGCTTGTAGCCTAGGTCATGTAGAGTATGCATGCAAAATTTTCGTGTTTTCTGATTTTTGCTATGTCATTATTATTATTATTATTAAATTGAAATTCTATTAAAATAATTTATAGGGCCTAGTACTAGGCCACAAACCACACAGCCAACCCCGTTATTCCGTTTAAAATTAGTATTTAAGTTTAACAAATTTGGTTTAACAGGGTGGATTTACTGTTTCTTTGGTTTAACTGGGTTGACTACACAGTTGTGTATTTTATTATTATTATAAAATAAAAAAATCTATTTTACTGTTTTTAGAAATAAACAATAATTCTACCTAAATTTATTTTGTTTTATCTGTTATAGTATGATCAAATAAATTTTGGATTTCCCAATTAGACATTTTAAAAAATATAAGATCATCATTTAATTTTTTCCCAATAATTCAATTAAAACTATTTATTAGATTTGGTGGTGGTTGCTACACAGTGAGGGAGGGTATCAAGCAAGAATGTAAGACATTCGATTATAAAATTTTTTTACTATGTGAATTCGAATTTTACTATCATCTACTATTACTATAGATCTGTGGCGACCAGTAATTTTTTTTAATTGCTTTTTTAGAAATAATAAAAATAACGTTTGTAAAAAATAAATGGATCCATGGCATATGATCATCATAAATAACGATATTCTTATTTTTTTCCTTTTTAAAATATATACCAATAATAATCACTTTTAATTCTATCCAATTAAATTCAATTAAAAATATTTGTAAAATAAAGATAATATATTTTTTATTTTTTATTTTTTACATATACATTCTTGACCAAAGAAATACAAATAAGGAAATTGTTTGCATAAAAAACTACAAAACTTTCTTATATACACGATTATATAAAAATTCTGGAGAATAATTTGTTACCGTACATTGACAAGTTTTTTCATAATGAACTGAACACAGACCTTCATCCAAACTTAACTTAATGTTAAAAAAAAAAAAAATTAATTAGAAATGTGTTTCTTTTTTCCAAAATTTTTGCGCATCTTTTAATTTGTAATATAAAAGAATTTGGCGAAAGCCTACTTTGTACAAAGATGGGTTTTAAAAAATTTTAAATCAACAATTAATTATTGTTACCAATCACTTGATACCCAGAAAAAGTATTAGTATGGTTTACTTGTTGTCTACATGACAATTTTTTCATTATAAATATAACTATAATTCGCAAAGACATCAGAATAAAATTTTCTTAATCACTGATAACTTTATCGTAAATAATAACTTTATCATAATCATATCACATATATTTTACTACCTTTTTTAAAAATGAATAATACTGTTTGTGAAACTATTTCTTCTATCCGTGGCCAAGACAAAATTAATGTTCATGGTTATATTATGGTCAAAGACAAACATCGCAATGATTCATATTACTGGTGTTGTGAAAAACGTGTTGCACTAAAATGTAATGGCCGAGCAGTTACTAAATTGATTGAAGGAGAACATCATCTTCACAATGTTTCTGAACATAATCATGCTGCAGAGGCAAGCCGAGTCAATGTTATAAAGACAGTTAATGCTTTGAAACAGAGAGCAAATGAAACCAGTGAACTACCTGCACAAATTATTCAAACTGTGTCTGCTCATAGTTCTCATATAATTCACCCATACCTTCCAACTCGTGATGCACTCCGACAAACAATCCATCGAATTCGAAGTTCTGGTCTTCCTACAGAACCAGAATATTTAGATGATCTTATTATTCCTGAAGATTTAACAAAAACTCTAGATGGATCTGACTTTTTGGTTAAGGATTCTGTTATGGATGAGGATAGAATACTGCTCTTTACAACTGTTGTCAATGTTCGATATCTGGCACAATCCCCTTTCTGGATTATGGATGGAACCTTTAAAACAGTTCCAACTTTATTTAGACAATTGTATACAATTCATGGACGTGTTGGCAGTAATGAAAACTCACGATTAATGCCACTTGTCTATGCATTAATGTCCAGGAAATCAGAGAGATGTTATAGGAGATTGTTTCAGGACTTGGCCGATTTTGGTGTTGAATATGATATCCATCTTCAACCACAATTTATTTTAACAGACTTTGAACAAGCAGCTATTAATGCTACATCTAGAGAATTTCAACATGTTCAAAATAAGGGATGCTTTTTTCATTTATCCCAAAGCATTTATCGAAAAATACAAGCCTCTGGTCTAAGTGTTCAATATGGAACTGATGAAAATTTCAGTTTACTAATTCGACAAATTCCCGCACTTGCTTTCTTGCCCCCAAATGATATCCCAGCAGCATTTGATGAATTAAAGGGCCATATTCCTCCAGAAGCTAATGAAATTGTACAGTGGTTCGAAGATAATTATGTGCATGGTAGAGTAAGACGTATATTAAGGGATGATAATGTAATACGGGCACCACCACTATTTCCACCAACCTTCTGGTCAGTTATTGATAATATTGAGTATACATTTCCTCGAACTCAAAATTCTGTAGAAGCTTGGCATCGAAGATGGGAAACATTAGTAGGTGTCTCTCATCTAGGTGTCTTCAGAATGATAAAGGAAATGCAAAAAGAACAAAATAGAGTCCAACTTGACATAGAATCAATTTTGCGAGGTGCACCACAACCTTCTCAGAGAAGAGAAAACATCATTCGTGAAGCACGAATTCAAATAGTCTTTAATGATCGCGATAATAGATCACTCATGGAATTTCTTCGGGGCATTGCCCATAATCTTTCACTTTAATATTGTTATTCTATTAATTTTCATGTAATTCATGATTGTAATTTTTTACAGTTTTAGTAGGTTTTTTATTTTTATTTTTTTCGGTTTATTTTTGCAATTATATCATTTTTTGAGTTGTTTTATTAAATAAATTTGTCTCTTAAATTGGTCACGTTTACTTCATCGACAATCATTTCGTGTTATATCAAGGTAGTTTCGAAGTTATATCGAGAGATATGGTCAAGAGAAGAGTTAGAAAGAGAGTTGTCCTTTGACCAAGTCGAAAACCAACCCTTTAAATACATCTTCAAGTAGCACAATTTAATTTATTAAACTAATTTCTTCGACATTTTGTTTAGATCGTCAAGTACATTTCTTCCTTCCTATATACATATGTAAATGATTATAGTGATGTTATTAAATATAAGTTAAATAAAGGATAAATTTGTATAAACTATTGAAATACTGTATTTGATGGTGCTGAACAAAAGATGGTTCATCCTGATGGAAAGCAGAAGGGGATGAGAACAATATTAACAGAAAGAGGTCTATATAAGGATGGATTGAGAAAAGTATGTCCTGAATGTAAAACAAAAAAATCAAGAGATCAAAACAGAAAATTAGATTGTTGTGGCTTGAAAATATTAGAATTACAACCTGATTTTCAAGCACAAAAAGGAACTATCCAAGAAGAAATAGAAAAAAGAGGTCACATGGTAGTATTTTACCCCAAGTTCCATTGTGAACTAAATTTTATTGAGATGTATTGGGGTGCTGCTAAAAGATATACAAGAGAAAACTGTGACTACAGTTGGAGTGGACTAAAAAATACAGTACCCTTGGCCTTGGATTCTATTTCTGTTTCATTAATAAGAAAATATGCACATAGATCCTTCAGGTACATGGATGCATATAGGAAAGGATTGTCTCTTGGTGATGCAGAATATGCTGTAAAGAAGTATCGTTCTCATAGAAGAATTCCTAATGATGTATTGTCATCAATTATTAATAATTAATGAATTATATATATAGTTGTTTATTTATTTATTTTGTACTGAGTTACCTTTAAAATTCTTATTTTCTAAAATAAAATTTTCAATTCTTCCAATTTGTTTATTTTTAATATATCCAGTAAAGTATGATACAGTTGTTATGACAATTTATAAAGTATAATCTATTGCCAAGATCATTAATGAATCCTCTTCTTTTTTTTCAATATCAATTACGTGGGTAGTAAAGCATCTATATAAAAATATGAAAATGGAAAAGATTTTTCCGTTAGCCAAATTGACTATGCAAGGCTACCTTGAGTAAAGACATAAGTTAGCTAACACATGAGCCATCTTAAGTGGGGTCACTCCTCCTATGAAGGTCAGTCAGTGAAAAGTTCCACCCACTTTATTAATTTTTGAAAAAATTAATAATTCACTGAACTTTCAACGACTATGAACTACCTAATGCATTGGCCTGAACTCAGTGGGGTAACTGCTAAGATCATATAACAGGATGATTGTCACAGCCGTAAATAAGTTCCACCCACTTTAATTTACTTGAACTTTTAGTAACACTTGCCTTGTATAGTGTGGTCATGCAATCCAAAATGATTTTTGATTAAAAACAGGATGTTTCGTTGTTATCATCTTCATTGAAGTACTTCCTGAACATTGAAGCATTCATCTGAGTATTTAAATCAACTCTTACACCAAATTCATAATTTATTATATATTAACCAAAAATGGAATGGCAGATAATAATTTTTTTTTGGCATAAAACTTAAAACCTAATTCAGATGGTTTTCTTAGATTATTAATAGATTACCATAAACTCAAATTTTTAATTGTAAATATTGATTGGTTTGGATTGTTAATTCAAATCCCAGTGAAGCACTAATTATATATATATGTAATTTTATTATTATTCATGTCTCTTTAATCATTAAAATAAATAAATAAAAACAAACAAATAAATTTTTGCTCAACAAATGAATAATAATGTAAAGTATGCCTTGACCCTTGCATTTGAATATAACATGTAAAGCCAAATCATAGAATGCCATTTCGGCACGATGTACCTCAACCCTTGAATTCGAATGCAATGTAAAAAGCAAAGCCGATGCACGTTTTTTCTGCGATTTTTTGGTCCACAAGTGGGGTATATAGCAGATCTATTTATATGTTTTTGCAGTAATTTATTAGACTCTTGATCAATGCATCATTTGGCCATGAAACAGTCTATTTTATTAGGATGCAACGTAAAAAGTAAAACCGATGCATGTTTTTTTGCAATTTTTTGGTCCACAGGTGGGGTAACGGGTCTATTTATATGTTTTTGTAGTAATTTATTAGACTACTCGATCAATGCACCATTTGACCACAAAATAGTCTATTTTATTAAAAATAGCATCATTGATAATGAATGCTTCGAATCCAGTGCTAATTTTGATGCTCCGAACGAATATATATGACACCAAAGAATATCTATGAAAATTTAGAATGACCCGAGAGAATGTTGGTGTTATGAAAAAATATGGGACAATCATCCTATTTATATGTTTCGAATTTAATAAAATAGGCTATTGTCTTGACCAAAGTGATGTGATTTTTTTGCTCTTTGCGACGAAGACACAACCCAAACCCAACTTAACTTTAATGTCAACGTAATGCTAAAATAAATAAAAATTTTGATCTCACGTAGCATGGCATGCATGATTGTGTAATATGCAAAAAAGCAAAAGCTCGTGTTGTGTTCTCAGTTGTAAACTTGTTTTTTTCCATTCATTATTATTATTATCACGTGATAAAGAGTATAAATTTCAAAATTTCCAATTCTTCCAATTCGTTCATTTTTAATATAAAAAATTTGTGTGTAACACGCCATTTTTGGGGGTTAACATAGTAAACTCGTGAAACTTTGAGAACTTTGATGTGTCACTCCTCCATGGTAGCGTGACATATCAACAAAATGAAATCATAGAATTGTAGAGAAAGGTCTTAGCTTTAATTCTATGATTTGTTTTTTTGGGTCATACATTTCCATTTTTGGAGAGGATATAGGATCTACACAGCCAATAAAAAGTTCAGTGACTAAGTGACTTGCACCATATTACAAACAAATGCGATGATGATAACTAAATTTTGATCCCTGAAATCCTTGGTAACACCAATGCAATGTTCAATTTGTCTGGTTTTGTTGCAGTATGCCCCAATTGATAAATCTAGCATGATTGATTGATTCATAACCCTTTCTGATGATTAATGGTTTGGCCAACATTTAATTATTAGTTAGTGACCCCTTTTATTAGTTTTACTATATTGCTTGTAGGGACGCCTCAAGTAGTGTAGTTGTATATTTTAGTTTAGTTTGAACATTATTGTGCCAGGTTTAGTAGTGACTCTGCAATAGAGTTGAGTTTCTATTCGTAATAAAATTTTTGTTCAAATTATTCAAATCATTCATTTTGTTTGAATTGTTATCATTTGTTTATTATTTGAATTGTATCATTCTTTTATTATTTGAATTGTATCATTCGTTTATTATTTGAATTGTTATTATCATTCGTTTACTGTAAAGTCTGGAAAGATAGCATCCCCTTTTTACATGTGTAACATTTTTTTTATATTGACACTCAATTGTTTTAAAGTAGGGGGTGCTATCTTTCGAGGGGTGCTATCTTTCCAGACTTTACGGTATTATTTGAATTGTTATCATCATTTGAATTGTATCATTCATTTATTGTTATTATTCAAATTGACATCATTCATTTATCATTCGAATTGAGATCATTCATTTATTGTTCAAATTGTATCATTCATTTATTATTCAAATTGTTATCATCATTCGTTTATCAATCAAATTGTATCATTTGTTTATTATTCGAATAGTTATCATTCGTTTATTTTTCAAATTATTATCATTTGTTTATCATTTGAATTGTTATCATTCATTTATTCAAACTATTTGTTTTGCTTGAATTATTCATTTATTCATTTTATTGTTTGAATTGTTGTCATTCATTTATTCGAACTATTTGTTTATTCATTTTTATTCAAACTATTCGTTTATTCTTTTTGTTTGAAATATTCTAATTATTCGTTTTACTCGAATTATTATTCGTTTATTTGGTTTATTTTAAACTATCAATTGAATTATTTGTTTTATTTGTTTATTTGAATTATCAAATTATCAAATTATCAAATTATTCATTATTTATTTTATTCAATGCAATTCGAATACTCAAATTCATAATAATAATGAGTAAAACAAATAATTCAAATAAGCCCTTATTCAAATAGAAGCCCTAATCAAGCTTGTATGGTTGTATGTAGTGATTTTCATTTAGTTTGCCATATTTGGTGACTCCAATAATTCAGATCGCACACTTGCAATATTTATTATTATTATAGGGAAGTAGGGTTTCTATTCAAATAAGGTTTATTTGAATTATTCACTTTATTTGTTATGAATTTGAGTATTCGAATTACATTGAAAGTTTATTTGAATAAATTATAATCTGAATAAAACGAATAATTCAAATAAGAAAATTGATTTGAATAAGGAAATTAATCCGAATAAAAAAATTAATTTGAATAAGGAAATTGATTTGAATAAGGAAATATATTCAACTACTAGTTTATTATTACTATCAAGAGTAAACATTTTTTATATCATGTTGAATAAAAAACTGTTCTAGTTGTTCTAAATCAGAAAGAGAAAAGACCTTTTGCTCTTCTTCATTAAACTCATAAACATTTTTATCTTTATTATTATCCTTTGGTGTTGGTGATTCCTGAGGAGTAGGAAGAGGAGTTACTTCACTTGGAGAATCACTATCTTTTTCTAAGGGTGGAGCCTTTTCTTCTTTCTTGTTTTTTTTTTTTGGTTAGATTTCCCTTCCTCATCTATATTAAACCTCTTTCTTAATTTATCCATGAACTCCCTTTCTTTTTGTAATCTTATTTCTTCATGTTTTTTAGTTGCTAGTTCAACTAACTTTTCTTTTAACTCTTTCTCTTCTAATTTGAGAATATCTTCAAGAGAGTAATTATTGGGATTAGCCAAGATTTCTTTGATTGGTTTATCTCTTTTTTCTTGTAAGAATTGTTCAAACTCTGGAACTTCTTTTTTATCTATTCCAACACTTTGAAGATTTTTCAGTGATTGTCAGTCAGGACATGCTCGACATAAAAATAGTTTTTCTAATTTATCCACCCCTTCAAGTTTTAAGACTTGTCTATTAGAGGAGGAATAAATAAGTAATGATGATTGGAAGAATCAAGAAATTCTAAATTTCAAATTACTAGCATTAATTTTATTAATTAAATTTTCTTTACAAGAAACAAACTCTAAGTTTTTTAAGTTGCTAATATCTAATTCTGTTAAACTGTTCTCAGCATAATCTAGTGTTACCAAATTTTCACAACCCTTAACATTTAGGTTACAAAGTGATACTTCTTGTTAATGACAAACAAACAATTCTTTCAAACTTTTTGAGTTGTGGCAGTCGAATTCTTCTAACCTGTTTTTATATATAACAATATAAATACTTTAAATTTTTTAACTCTTTAACTTCAATATCATTACAATTTCTATTTCTAAGTTATTACTTAAATCTAAAGCATCTATATTATTCAAACCACAATTTAAACTTTTTAAACTAGTTAAGTCACTTAAATCAACTTCTTCTAGTTCATTAGATGTTATCATTAAAGTATGTAAATTACTTAGACCAGTGAAATCTGTTTCTCATATTTCATTATGATTATTATGCACTTCCTGCAATTCTTTATTACTGTTGTACATGAAAATGAAATTATGTGAATTTGCAATTCACATATGTGAAATTCATATTTACATGCATGAAATTCAAATTAGCCAATCAGAATTTCACCCCACTCCATAATATTTCAATTTCACATACAACATTACTACTAACACCTAAACTTCATAATTGATTATTTGAACAATCTAAATATTCCAATTTCTCACACTTATCCAAATTGGTTAGTTCATTATCACTACAATCTAAACTCTTTAAATTAGTAAATCCTTCCAAGTTTAATTCTCCTTGTAATCCTAAACTGCTAAGATCTAGTTTTTCCACTTCATTTCTTTTGTCAAGAGGATATTTAGCATCTAACCAAGTTTAGGCATCGCCATCAACTCTGCTTTCTATCTTTTAATCCTAAAGCATCTAATCTAACTTTTTCTTCACTAGAAGAAATAGTTTGTAAGTTTTTAGCTTTAATTCTTCAACTGGAAAGTCTCACTTAGTTAATTGGTTATTATGAGTATAGTTTTCTTGAACATTTGGACAGTTCTCTATCTTTAACTTAGTAAGTTTATTGTGAGCTACTTGAACTAATTTTAAATCAGGGCAATTGTGAATAATGATCTCTTCTAATTCATTATTACCTAAATTCAACTGAGTTAAATCAGGAAAGTTCTCTATTACTACTTTACCAGTATAGCCTTGTTGAATAAAACAAAGAGTTCTAATTTTTTCTTTAACACTGGCTAAATTGTTAAAATCCTTTTCTTCTTGTTTTGCTTTCAGCCTTAATCAATTTGTTAATCAGGCTTGATTTTCATATTGTAAAATAGTAAGTTATAGATCACGGAAAACGAGCATATAAATCGGAAATGATTTACATGTATCACAAAGTGAAAATCTGGAAACGATTATCACGGAATAACTCAACAAGAAATAAACCGGTACAATTTAATAAACGTTACACTAATTAATAAGGCGCACCAATCAAATAAATAGCTCTCGGAAAATAACCCAAATATTGGAGATATAAATATTCCAACATTCTAAAGTGTAACAGATTACAAAGTCTCAGAAAAATATTTAAATGAAAGAATTTTACATGACTCATGATGACTAGAAATTACTTGAAAATAATTCTAAATGGAAGGTCTAAATAATAATTAAGGAATATATTAATTAGTATAAATTAGGATTTCAACAAAGTCGGATAACTAGATGATAGAACCTTTAACATGTATAAATACGTTGTAAATTTCTCTTTCATGAAATAATAAGTTAGAAGTTAATCAGTTAATTCATTCTTAACTGCTATCTTGTAATAACCATAATATCTTATTAATAAAATACAAACATAAATATCTATTAAAATAATCTATTTCCAGTGGAGTTATCCACCCGCTTCCTAAAAACATATAAACCTCTAACTCGACCTAATTATTAATTAATTGCTATCTTACCAGGGGGACGCCTTTGATAAGTATAGTGTGTGAATTCTCTTTTAATTTTATTTTCTTTATTTTTATTTTAGATTAGGCCAACGCCTAAATAAGTGGAAACCCTAGCTAGGTGTGGTCAGTAAAGAAACACTGAACCATCAGAACATAACACAACAGTATCAGGGAAGATACTGGGATTATTATCAGAAGGGATAATAATTGACACGTTCCGGCTCAGGCAGAAAACATAGCAACTGCTGAGAAAACGTTACCGGACGGGAAGTAAGAAAACTTGCCCTGAAGAGAGTTAAATAGCTTGAGCGCTATAAACCAAAGAAAGTAATCAAAGAATTACACAACTGGATACTACCATAGGAAGGGATAAATAATATTATAACCAAATCAATAGATTTGTGTGAGACAGAATTTTTGATCTCACAGTAGTGAACAATTTTTATTGTGTTGGTGATTCTTCAAATGATTGACATCCAATTTAAAATTTTCCCTTGTACTATGGATGATAAAACCTAATCCAACTAATTGATTGAAAAATTCTCAAATCCTGATCCTTATTAAATCATTATTTCCAATTATTTTTTATTATTGTAAACATATTTTTTTAATTGTCAATTGTTTTTGCTAAAAAATAAAACATGCATACTCTTCCAAATAAACAATATAATGCTTACAATTAAAAAAGTTATTATTATAGTTTTGCATGCGAAGCATGCCACGAATGATTACAAATTTTTTGTTGTAAAAAAAAATTTATTTTTAGTATGTATTTATAACAAATACAAAATTAATATTGGTGTATTAGTGCAACGAAGTTGCCAGAAACCAAAATCACTAAAAAGAATTAACAAGTATTTGAATGTTGAGCTTGAATGAGCCAGGGAGCTTGTACAGATCAAATCACACAAAAAAAGTCTCTTTTTACTATATAGAACATTCTAAAGCAGTTTTTACAAATTTGGAATATTAATATTGAACAAAAAAAAAAAAAAATTAATATACAATTAAAAATTTTAATTCAATTTATTTAGTCTATCACTGTTAATTCTTCTTAATCTTTTTGTATTCATTTACAGCATCTTTTGAACATTTAACCTGAGAATAATCAAATTTTAACCAAATGTTTCTAATTAGTACTAAAAGTGCTACTAATTCCTAAAACAACTAAATCTGTTTGATATGTTGTATGCGAAGTTGAAATTGAAATTTATTAATTAACAAATAAATAATAATTAATTCACCATATCCAACCAGATGCTACTTTATTATTTGAAATTTGATATATTCTTCGTAAGAGGTGGTGCATTGCATACCCCCAAACACCCCTGGATTTATTCCTAGGAATATATAGATAAGGTTATATCCATCCGGATATGCTGAATTAATTATTAATATTATTTCTTTAAACAAGTTCAAACTGAGAACACAAAGCAAGCTTTGCTTTTTTATGCATTACATGACCGCTTTTTCTGTGCTGTGCGAGAACAAAAATTGTGACTTCTTCGTCACAAAGAGCAAAAAAAAAGGCATCACTCCGGTCAAGACAATAGTCTATTTTATTAAATCCAAAACATATAAATAGGACAGCCGTCCCATTTTTTTTTTCGTTTTTTTTTTCGTGGAAAAATTCCCTCAGGCCATTTCAGCGCACGGAACTCAACCTTCTACATTCTGCCATAACATCCCTGTCCATCTTCAAGCAATCAAGATAAAATTCAAGTTTACAAATGTGCACGCTACGTTCCAACCATGAGATCATTTGTCGTTATACAACGTTATTACCCACGCAATTGTTGATTGACCAATAAATTAAAAAAAATTCATATATTTATATGATGGCTCAACACTGCCAAATGGCCCGTAGAACAACGTCTCAGCACCACCATCCGACCCTCAAGCCATGTATAAATAACATAAATTTTAAACAAAAAATGGGTTTTTCAAAAAAAAAATAAGCAAAAAATGGGTTTTTTAAAAATTAAATAAAAAACGGGGTTTTTAATAAATAAATGAATAAATAAAATGGGGGTTTTTTAAATAAAATAAAATAAATAAAAAACGGGGGGTTTTTTTTTAAAAAATAAATAAAAAAATGTCTTTTCTCTCTGGTGGGTAATGTCAATTAATTTCCTGTTTGGTATTTTTTCACAAAACGAAGTCCTGCGGGGTATAAATAATTTTTTTTTTAAAATAAATAAATTTAAAAGAGAGTCTGGAGGAACATAACCATCCTTGAAAATGTAAATCATTTTACCTTTTTCGATACTTGCGCAATTATTTGTATAGTGGTTGGAACTTAAACAATAAAAACATTTGCCAACGTACTTTGGAAGGGTATTAGGGCACTTGTTTGATTTATGACCTTTGTAGCCACAAGTACAGCAAATTTATCCATACTACAGGTTGTTTCTCTGAGTGATATAGACACCTTTTGCATAAATTAACATTCTAGTTGTGGGAGTGTAAGTGGTATTTGTTGGCGAGCTGTAATAAAGGTTATAAGGTGATGGTGGTTCCTCATTAAATTTTCTTTTATGCAATGACACTTGTTTGCTTTTGCCGATTGTGATCATTTTTATGAAATTTTGCATTTTCTCATCGTTGTTGTTTTTTTTTGTTGTTGTTGATATTTGTATATATTATCATTATTTTTATTATTATTATTATTAATCAATGTTCCTATTGTTTTTATTGTTATTATTACTATTCCCAATATTATTATTAATATTATTATTTTTACCAACAATACTGCTACTGCTATCGGTACTGCTACTGCTACTGGGACTACTATCACCACTATTATCGACTATTGTCACCGATTAAATTCGGGAGAGCGTATTTTAATTGGTGATAACAATTATTTTTTGTTTTTGCGTGGATCAGAATGAATAGGGGATCAACGAATTGATTTTGTTATTAGCGAATAATTTTGGGTAAAGAAGATAAAAGTTTATTTAAATAAAATATTACTATTTTATTTATTTAGTTTTATTTAGTCGAAACTAATTAACTTGTTAGAAAGTTACTTTACAAGTACATTGAATTCAAGCTCCTTATATACAATTCAATTAATTAGTAATTCTAATGTTTCAAAATTGAAATTCCGTTCAATATTGAAAAGTTATTTCAATATTGTAATAATATTTCATAATTGTAACAATATTTCAAAATTGCCGATATTTTAAAATTGCGCTAATACACTCACCTGCCAAAAGTATCCGGATACTTTTGGCAGGTGAGTGTATTTCAAAATTGAAATATTGGAAAGACGATTCTTCCTTAACATTATGACAAATATTTTTAATTAATAAAAAAAGGGGCCGATATTTAAATTCGTTGTAACAAGACGGCAAACATTGATAAACTGGATTTGAATTTGATCCGAACTTGATCTCCAATTTAGAGAGGTAACAACTATACACTGGCGAAGTTTCAGAAGCAATGAGTTCTGTACAACATTTCGTGTAACAACAAACTTGTGATGATAATAACTAAATTTTGATCCCTGAAATTTTTGGTAATACCAATGTTCACTTTGTCTGGTTTTGTTGCAGCATACCCCATATATAATAACAACAATAATAACTCAATAACCTCAAGAAAAATTCACAACACAAAAGTTTCGTTTAGTTGAAACTTTGCATCTGAACCACATGCGTTTTTTGGGAAGAAAGATAGTCAGAGATGACTAGCACATACATCTAGCTAGAATACTTGTATTTGAGGGAAAGTTATATTGTCTTGTATAATTTGTATATTGTGCTAGAACAACTCACATTGATAATAAAACTATTTGTGATCTTAAAACTTAAGTGATCATCAAAATAAGAACAAAATCCTTGTTAAAACGTTGGTTGGCAACTTGTAAGACTAATGATTACAAAAAATGAATACTACAATGATTTTCTTTGCCTTTTAAGGTAAATAATTCCTTTTGAAATTTCATATTTGGCATCTCATTTATCATTTATATAATTTTGTGGATTTGTTATTTTTCGAAAGAAATACGAAAACGATATTAATATTAAATATCCAAGCATGCTTGTTATAGTTGTGGTAATAACTATATTAAGTTGGTTCTGTCATCTTGTGAACAGAGTGACGGATCATTCTAACCAAATAGTCTTCACATAACAATCTACCCTTTACTTATGCGAAGCTTAGATTGGCGAGAGAATCCAACATCTTGATCCTTTCAATATTTCTTTTTAAAATTAAATTTAACAGATTTAAAAAATTCCCAAGTTTTTTAAATGAAAACTACAATTTTTAATTTATTGGAATATCAATAATGATAATTCATTATATATATATATTAAATAAATGCATTAATTTGAAAAACCTCAAATCTCAAGTTTATTATAATAATTTTCAATAAGCTTATCGATAATGATGAATGAATATATATATTAAAAATTAAATGTATATAGTATCCATGAAAAATTTGGAAACCCTCAAATCTAAACAAAACTTGAATATTATTAAATCAATTTCAGGGTGTCTCGTGCCCTCATAACAAGATGATATATTAAGCGTATTAATTTATTTGACAAATGATCATGGTGGTTTTTTACTAGTTGTATGATGAACCAGGGTTGTTAATAGACAGGTCCATTGAATTTTGATCTGGTCTATCGGCATTAATAAAATACAAATATGGTCATTACGCTATACCAATTGGTCAATGGACCAGTCAATTTCCAACCCTGGTATGAACTGTGTGGATAAAATATAAATATCAAACGACATGGAACCCATTTTCAAATTGAAACCAAATCACAGATGCCTTGCCACGAATCCAGTATTTTAAATACTGTTATTAAATCGCTCTGGTAATATCCATGGCAATTTTTATAATCAGATATGGATAATGATTTGTTTATGTATTTTTATTTCTTATAAATGTCGATGATATAAAGAGAAGGAGAATTAAAAATAATATTAATATTAATAATATTATAGTTAGTAAAAATGAAAAGTTATTCATAGTAGCTAATTGACACACACATATATATTACATAAAATAATTATTATTAGATATAAACCTTTATGAGCCTATTCTTCGAGTTCATCACAATCTAATACAGATTCATTACTTTCTTTTTCCCACTAACAGATTCTTCTTCTACATAGTCACTGCTACTCTATAATATTAACAATACATATTTTCAGTTTTTTTTTTAATAAAATTGTTAATTATAACCCTCAAAAAAAAAAAAAAAAAATCTAACCACTTCAACCTTCTCCTCCTCACTCTTAGCGAGGCCCCACTTCACTCACTGAATCTGATTGTACTTTTGAATCATCATTATTTTATCCATTCACGTCTAAGAATGACCAACCACCATTTATATAAAATCCTGCTACATATTGATTAATATTTGTGCCCAGCCTAAATTTGGCGTTGCTTGATAATATACAATATCTATTGAATCTAATCAATTCTTTATGCCTTCTAATTGAAATAGTATTAATATATTGGTGACTGTGAATAATCTCTTAAAACCAATACCATATCAAAATTCCCTCACCCATTCTATATCTTTCTAAATTTTTACCATTTCTACATCAGCCATTGTCAAAAAGGCAAATCCACCAATGAACGAGACAGTTGTTGATTGTAATAACACTTTGGTTTTAAATGGAACACCAGAGAATCCAATATTTCTGGAAGTATCAAGAACAATTACATCTAAAAAATAGATTAAAATAAAAATGAATTTATATAATAGAACTTTGCTTTATTTAATCCTTATAAATAAATAATACCTACATATGTTGAAACATTCTTGGAAAATTTCCCGAGTTCATCATTTAATGATTTTCTTTTTTCTTTCTTTTCTACCAATTCAATTTCTTCATTGGATTGTTCATATATATCTCATCTTCATCCTTATAATCATCATCTACCATATCATTTTTGATATCAGAAACTTTCTTTGTGAATTGTATGTCCTAAAACAATTTATTTATTATAAGACTTTGCAAAATAAGAAAACATTAACAAGCGTACAGCAGCGATGGATTTTCCCCAAGTTTAATTGATTGATTAAGTCAATGTATAACACTACAATTGCTTCATCATCATTCAGAGTTGAAAGAATATATGGTTTATATTGTGAAAAATTATTTATTAATATTAATATTATTAAGAATTTTTAATAATGCATCAGGTATGAGTATTGTTACCAATTATATACTGATAATTATCTGCTTTATTAGCAAAGGCCGTCAAGAAACTTTTTTTGTTCCAAACCCCAAACTCAGCCTCACGAATACATCTACAAGCTTGTTATATGGCATTATAACTATTAAAAAATACAAACAGATATAGTTAGATATATATATATACATATAAATTTTTTAAAGGTAATGAATAATTAAACTGCTACTAACGCTCATCTATAACAAGTTTAGGTTGTAAAGCCAATCCAGCTAATTGATTTTTTAATTTTTTCCCTGAAAATAAATAAAATTTATATCTCTTTTTTTTAAAAAAAAAAACAAATATTTATTTATTTTATATACCTTTTTTGAGCTCAACTATCTGTTCATATGCTTCACTTCACCCAGGTTGGCAATTGACCAGTCCAATGGATCCATGGCATAGTTTGTCAACTTCAATGGACTTGATATATTGCCAACTCCACTTCACTCATACAATCATCCATACTTCTAGACGTCAATGAACGAATGTAGCTTATAAAATGGCTTTTTTCCAGTAGCTTCTTTTGGCGTCAAAAACTTTACACCTACAAGTATGTATAGTCACCTTCTGGTTTATGAGCATTTTATATTGAAAAGGAACTGCATAATCAAATATCGGAGTGATGACTTCCTTGCCTCGATAATCATTTTTCTAATTAATAGAAGTAGAATTTTTACTAATACCGAGTTCTTCCTGATTAAGAGAATTTTTATTACTTTTTTGAAGTTAGTCCCAAATCCTTTTTAGTTCCTTGCTAGCATTATTGGCAAATATTTTTCAGTTTATGGAGTATTATATTCAATTACCAACTCACTCTGTTGCATTTCGTTGATTACCATAAATATATAATAATATTTGGATGATTGATAAGAATAAATCAAACATTTTTACCTTTGACTCATTCACTTCCTTGAAAATTTCCACTACTTGTTCATGTCATTCATTTCGTTTTACTGAATATAAGTCAGTCACTCTCATGTTTTTTATCTTTTAATCTATGATGAGGCAAGGGAAATTTACCAAAATCATCGCCAGTAAAAGAACTTTAACACAAAACCAAAACCAAAAAATAAATAATTTTCAGTCAATTGTCAACATTATATCCCAGGGGACACATAGAAAAAAGCAAAAGGTTTCACTGATGGGGTTATATAGTAATCGCAGACCATAATAAGTCGATCGGATTTATGGAACGCAATTAATAATGTTTTTACACGCGATGCAAAAATTATCTGTAACGCGAATATTATAATTCGTTGAAACAAGGTTTAATCGCAAACAAATTTTATTATTATTACCTTAGTAGCAGAGTTTACGATGCTCCAATTTATTAATGCCATCATATCTCAACCATGGAAATGTAGACAGTCAGCAATTCGTATTTGAAGTCTTTGCTTTTTATTTTTTTTTAGATTTTTTTTTGTATAATTGTATCTTGAAGTAGGATTATCAATTGTGACAAGCGTCATCAATCGTAGTCATTTTCATCATTAATTCGTGGTCCGCCGATCAACGATAGATTTTTAATATGTAGATCCGGGATATTAAACATATGGTTGATGATCAAAACCAAAATTACCCATTTTTATTTTAAAAAAAATATATATTCTATTACTTTTTTTTTTAAAAAAACTCTTAAAAAAATAATAAACTGTTTATTTTATATCTATAAATTCTATAAAAACTTATTTCAATCATGAAT